AGAGAGAGAGAGAGAGAGAGAAAGAGAGAGAGAGAGAGAGAGTAGTAACCTGCCTGTGGTTTATCGTGGTTTGTGTTTTATCATGCTTGTGTTGGGGGTTTATCATGCTTTCTGCGTGTATTGTAGCTTTTTTTTCGTCTGTTATTGGGAAAAAAACATCGAAAGACAGGGGTTTTTTGTGTTTACCATGTTTTTTAACACCTTTTTTGCTTTTCTTAGTTGCAACGAAGCAGCGAATCGTAGGACTGGTCGTTCATTATGCTTTCTGTTATTTTCACCTTTTTCCYATTATTYTTTTGCCGCCTAAGCTKCAACAGGTCATCTAGTAATCTGTTTGGAGTTGCTGTTCAGTTCGATATTTAGTTTGCCAGATTTCAGTGCTTTTGTTCTGCAGCTGAATATAGACTATCAGGCAGGTGCACTGTTTGCAGTGCAGTGTTCATGTTGCAAAGCTGCACATTGACTCTCAGGTTCAATACAACGGTTGCATTTGGAAGGGATGTGCTCAGGTTCAGTAGCGCTAGTCTGCAACAACCTTCCCTGGCTGTATGTGTTGTGTGTTGTGTGTGTTGTGTGATGTGTGTGATGTGTGTGTCATGGACGTCCTTTTCATCATAGCATTGACCGCTGTTGTTGCATGCAGGTCGAACTCATCATAAAAGTTCAGAAACCCCTTAACTCCAGACTTGTTTCTGCACCCTCCCCGTGAATGGGAGGGGAATTGGGTGGGAGAAGAAAATACTGACTTGCAACGGCAGCTCAGGGCAGCAGAGATGTCAAGAAAGCACAGTACTGTCTCCACAATTCCCCTGGTATTGGCTTCCTGGGGCCTGGAAATGGCCGTTTTCGGCCTACAACGGCCAGGGGACAAAACACAAAGACGACCTCGGCCCGCTAGTGGCTTCCTGGGGCCTGGAAAGGACCGTTGTAGGCTTCCAACGCCACAGGGCAAAACGTAAAGATGACCTAGTCCGGTAGGGGTAAAACGAAAATAATCAGGGCCTGGGAAAAGTTGGCAGGTACCGGGACATTTTGCAAAGATGGGCAGTACCCGGTAGGGGCATTTTGAAAAGATGGCGGGTCCAACCGACGCCAGGGGCATTTCACAAAACATTTTTTTTGTCGGAGGGGTATTTCGCTCTACCCACATCTTTTAGGGGCATCTTGGCATATAACTCAAGTTATAGGGGTATTTTGCAAATTATCCAGGTCGGATGCCTACCCGAGTCCCGCTATTTTCCAAGCGGCAAAGGTACTGGTGGTTTAAAAAGAAAAAAAAATTAAACAAGATTTAACATCCCAATTCCTTACCAAATTTGAAATAAAAATAAAATACCAAAAATAAATACTAATAAAAAAAAAAAAAAAAAAAATAGTGAGTAAACGAGCACGTTTTCGACACCTCCATCTTTGGCGATTTTTATTTTTTTTTGGCATAGCTAAATTCCCTGAAAATTTACAAATGTGTACTCTACATAATGCAAAACCCACTAAAAACGTTTTAAAAAATAATAAAATTGTTAAATCCCCGAACTAAAGTGAAAACAACAAGTAAAAAGTGAAAAACAACGTGCGCGAGCACGTTTTGACACCGCCATATTTGGCGATTTTTAATTCCTATTTGGTGGAGCTAAATGACTTGAAAATTTATAGACATGTACCTGACGTCATAGAGAACTCACGAAAAAAACTTCATTAAAAAAAATATATGTTTAGGCCCTGAAATAAGTTTTGGCGGGGGCCAAACGCCGTCCGGTTCAGACCCCGTACGGGACCCCGAACGCCCGTACATACGGAGGTCTGTCCGAGGACCTCCGTACGTACGGGCTGGTGATCCTGTATATAGATAGATAGATAGATAGATAGATAGATAGATAGATAGATAGGTAGATGGATATAAAGTGTATATCCTAACCCTCAAGCAACATTGGCCGCGGGGGGAGGTCAATGGTCTGCTGCGCGCCGGAATCCTGTCGAATTGGATCGAAGTTTCAGTGCGGGCGGCGGATGAAGGCGATCGAGGGCGGGTGGGCGTGCAGATGGGCATGCAGAGTGGCGAGCATACCGAATTGTTCGCAGCGCACCACTGAACGAGAGAGCGCGGGTACACGACGGGCGTCGATGCGGATGAATATCTCGACGTGCCCGCCGTTGGATAGCATTTCCGTGCCGGTTTGTATCCGACCCTTTTTTTTTTTGTATTGTCGATCCGAAAAAATAAAATAAAAAAAATAAAAAAAAGTAAAAAAATAAAATAAATAAAAAAATAAAATAAAATAAAATTATTTTGCAATCGTTTTGGGTCGGAACGAACATTCCGCTAGAACACGGTCAGATGCAGGCACAGCAGTGTTTGGCACTCGGTCCGTGGTGCGGGCGGTCCGTGGGCATCGCTACACCATTGTCGAAATGTGAGAAAACATGGCGGGCGCATCTGGCCATGTTCTAGTGGGAAGTTCATTCTCATTTGCCTCTCTGTCTGTCGCTCTCTCTCTTTCATCGCCACACCACAGACTCGTGCTCGCTCGCTCTCTCTCGCACAGAAACACACACACACACAGACACACAGATGGGACGAAGTTTGCCTCTGTCTGTGTGTGTGCGTGTGTAAGGGAGAGAGAGACAACAAGAAATTGTGTGTGTGTGCGTGTGTGTGGGTGTAACAGAGAGTGTGCGGGCAAGAGTCTATGTGTGTGTGTGCGCGTGGGTGTGTGGCAGAGGGAGAATGCGGTAAAGACTCTGCCATCGGCAGTGGCACGAGCCGAGACAAGGGTGTGTCGTGTAGCTAAGGCGCGCATGTCTTGAAAAAAAAAAAAGAAAAAAAAAAAGGAAAAAAAAGGAGGAAGCTTGCCTGTGTCTCTCTCTCCCTCTCTTCGTCCTCTTTTTCCGTCTCTCTCTCTCTTTCTCTCTCTCTCTCTCTCTCTCTCTCTCTCTCTCTCTCTCTCTCTCTCTGTATGTCTCTCTCTCTTTCTGTCTGTGTGTACCAAATATTGACATGCGCAAAGGTGGTGCCTCGATGCAGGTACGAGAGATGGTCTCTCTTTCTCTCTCTCTCTCTCTCTCTCTCTTCATCACTCGCGCGCCTCCTAGGTCCATTACTCCCTCTCTTCGCCATATATACTGTGCACGAGGGGGGAGGTTTCATGTTGAGGTGCTTGAGCTTGAGCAACCTCGGCGTGCAACAAGAAAGAGAGAGAGAGAGAGAGAGAGAGAGAGAGA